TATAATCACCTGAATATTGGAATCGTTACGTTTTATTTCCGTTTCCTTAGAATGAGCAATTTTTATCTACAGACGTTGAGGGTTGTCTACCTTTGATCCCACCATGTTGAACTGCCATGTTTCTACAGTAGGCCAGAACGGACAAAGCAAACACTGGCAAATGCGTGTTATGCATGATGATGTCACTTTTGGTGCCTGGTCTTGTTTGTCTTAGCTTATTTAGACAACACAGCATCTCTTATCTTCCAGTCTCCTCTAATTATAGATGCTATATATGGCCATCATCCTCTATCTTTCTTGTTCATCCCTCCATTCTTATTACTGCTGCATTCCTCTGTCATCACTGAATGCCTGCATTGTTGATGATTCTTAATCTGCTCATCATCCCTCATTGCTTCTTAATCCCTCAGTTGCCTCCTTATTCCTTCATCCATCCTCATCCTATTTTCATCCTTCAACCCCTCTTTCATCCACCTTTTTCACCTTTTTCATCTTCCATCTGACATCTTCCCACACTTCAGCCTTCCATTTCAGGTTGCAATCCCTCCTTCTTAGGTTTCTGAACATAATGGCTTTTTGTGTCTGTTTCAGATGGCCTGGCTGACTGTATGGACCCAGACTGCTGTCTGCAGCCCTCCTGTCAGAACCAGTTATACTGCAAAGGGTCACCTGACCCAGGGGAGGTGCTCAGCCAGTCTCCATCCTCATTGGCCCCTCAGCAAGTAATGAGCTTAAATCAGAAATGAAGTCCAAATAAGAATGTTATGTCCTGGTACAAATCCCTTTTAGAAATCACCTTTTAGTGTAGCAAAAAGAGAGGGCTGACATGAGTGCATCTTTCTATTTATTTTCTATTTTATTTTCCTTAGGCTGCCAGGTCTTTCTACCAGCGCATTCACTTCTTAGTTGGTCCTGAATCCACTCACGTCATCACTGGAGACAGTCCGTTCAATAAAAGGTAATCATGTCTCTGTCTGTGTTTTCTTTTCTTTTTTTCATCAGTGAATTCGGGGCATACAGCAACATGAGTGGTCAGACGGGCTGTTAACAAATACACAGTTTAATCATGCATTTCACACTGTGTTTGAAGATGAAAGCACAGGTTTGTTGTAAACAATCGATTTTGCAGAGCTATTTCCTGCGCACAGTTTTTCCATTGCAGTGACTGCACTTGTGCATTCACATACAGATAGTTTGGTTTTGACTAGGGCTGCATGATGTAGTAAATAAAATCAAATTGTGATTATTTTGACTGGGACTGCGATATGATTCATGATTAGTGGAAATAACCATTTTTCATCACAATGTTCATTTTTAATTAAACAACTATTAAAATCATGATGATGTGACATTTGTAGGGGTAACTAAGTTAAACTAGGGGTTTTAATGCAACTTCAGTTACTGAGTGATTAAGATGGTGAGTGGAATGTAATCAGAACCATTGGGAATCATGGCTACAATTACAAGATAAGATATACTTAATTTTCTATCATGTAAATAGTGTTTCCCTCAGTATGAAGTATGAAACAGTTTCAGGCTTCTGTTTTGTGCTGGATGGAAACGCTTTCCACAGACATAGAGGGAAAAAATCACCTTGCCTAGCCAGGGCGCCTGCACAGCTCTTTAAAGAAGGGGTAAAGTTACTTCCTGTTCTTCTTATTCAAACACTGTTGTTTTTCTTCTTAGTGGGATCATGGATCATTTGGGTCTTTTCTTTGTGTTCTTTGATTGCTTGACTCATAATGCTGCCTGCAGGTCATAGCTTAACCTACTTTTATTTGCCATAATACGAGCAGTTGCAGGTAGGTTTTCAGTCTGAATGAATACAACAAAAAAAGTGACACACAATATAAAGATTTAAAGCCTGCCATTTTTCCTTGCCAAAAGCCATTTCTGCCCACATCTGCCTCAGACATATCATTCATTAAATATGATAAGAGAGAAAGAGAGGGTGGCAGTCTTCAAAATATACAGTGAAAGGAAAACTGAAACGTGACGGCAATTCTGTTCAGCCATTTTTCTGCTTTTGTCACATTTTTTATTCTACCTTGAATGTTTATTAGACCTCAAAACAGTATGAGTCTGTGTTTGTGTGTGGGTGTGTGAGGATTTGTGTGTGGGTGGTGGAAGGGTGTTTTAAATTACACCTTTACCCTTTAAAAGACAAAGAAATTATATTTTAATTTCCCCTTGAACTAACAAGGAAAACTTAGACAAATATCATACTTATGGAGGAAGACAAACTTACACAGTGGCAAACAGCGTTTGCACACATGCAGAAGTAAACATTCACAGTACACATCTAGGACAAGTTTCCGATGGACGTGATCAGTGGGATGTGGTAGAAAACAAACTGGAGTGATTGACATCATATAAAGAGATTAACTTGTGAAGTTGTTTTTGTGCCATGAACTTCATTAATCACAAAAATAATGGAAAGATCCCAAGAAGCATCCCTATCTCTTAGCTCCGAGTGCACAATTATCTATTAGCTCTGGCAATTTTTTCAGAGGAAAAGATTTTAATAAGCTATTGGAAGGTTTAACACTGAAACTGCAGGAAGAAGCACCTGTTCTAATGTGAGACAGCTCAGAAAAATGAATCACAAACAGGTGTGATCCTGTGTGACTCAATCAATAATACAACATCAGCAGTGGGAGAATTATTCAGAATAACTTAGGTAAAAAGAGCTAGAACACATATATATATAACGCTTGGTAGAGTCCTTATCGCAGCAGTAAAATGTTGGCAACTGGTTAGATCTAAAGCTATTCTGCTATAAGTGAGGACTGATTTCAACACATAATGGGATCAAAAACAAATATATGGACATTTGACCATGGATCAGTTCATAACCCTCACAAGGAGTGAGGGGAATGGTGTGTTTTCCAGCACTGGTTTGCCCAACCATAGGGACTCAATTAGCTCAATTACTACAATGAAATATCAGGTAAATTCTTTTGTAAATGTTGCATCGTTCAGCTTTAATAAATATAAGCTTTCTCTGTGTCTCTCTCTCCAGCTTGGTGTCAATAATTCGTGGTCAGGTGTTGACAGCCGACGGAACACCTCTGATTGGAGTCAACGTGACATTTGTCCACTATCCTGAACATGGATACACCGTAACACGCAAGGATGGCATGTGTGTATTCATTTATATTTTTACACAATATTTGTAACCTTCTGTTTTCTATGTACCTTGCATCCTCCACCAAAATTGTTTCACCTGACACTTCCATAGAATCAATGGAAGATAGAGCTGCCAAATACTAACAGGGCACCTGATCATGTAGAACTGGAGACAGATTGTGTATCCAAAGCTTCCAGGCCACTGTCATTCTTTGCACTGTTTTAAATCAAACATACCTACCCTACAGTGTCCTCATTTCACCCTACGGTGTCCTCATTATGGAGGTTGACTCAGATCTGTAGCCAGCCTCAAGTGGCCGTTAGGGAAACTGCAATTTTGATTTCTGTGTGGGCTTAATTTGCCAGCCATGGAGGTTGCCCTTTGGCATTAGCTGAAATGAGACAGACCTTAAACCAACTGTACGCCGCTGTATTCCTTCCTTCCTTGGTCCGTGGTGTTTATATCAGGACAGTGAGTGTCTGTTTTCCTCTTCAGTGCATTTCCTCTGGTTCCACAGACTATACCCAGAACCCACAGACATTATACACACACTACCAAATGTAGATTTTTTGTTCACAGGTTGAGGTTTCAGAGAATCAGGGAATATTGATCCGGAATCTCCTTAGCTCTGTGACAATGATGCCTATTCGCCTTGCAGGTCAATCGCTGGATTGGTTGTCCATGAGGGTACATACAGTTTTTCGCTTTTGTTTCTGACCAAGTGGTGGTGGTCCCTCTGGATGCGGTGGTCCAGACAGGACAGTTTGAGCCAGGTTCTGTTTGGGACACCTTTTCGAGTCCCTCCCCTGACTGGGAGGAGCAGATCGGGCTGCTCAGTTGTGAGTGCAGTGGCCGAAAAGACCCTCTGCCTCAGTCCAGGGGCTTAGTGACTGAGTCATACACCCACTGCTGGCATGCCAGGTTATGGTTAGGGCCTCCCAGGCTTCACAGTCCTGCCCCCATCCCTCGTTGTCTGGGACCTCCTTCTCAACCTTTCCGTCTAGGAGACCTTATAGCACTTAACACATTGCATAAAACACATAAAGCACTTGATTAAAAGCCAGTTCAGCAAAACAAAGGGAAAGCACTTTAATCACGTCAATGCTATGCTCTGCTCCACCCCCCACATCCACTCCAGGCTCTATCTTCAATCTCAAGAACATCAGCTGAAGAGGTGTGAATGTGTGTAGGAGTAGAAGTGTAAGACTCTTAAAAATGCATTGGATTCACATCAGCTTATAAGACACACTCCAGTACACACATATACACGGGAACACAGAGTACCAAAGGCATACAAACGCATGCTCAGCAATATATTGATATATAATGATATGCACACACAGTATACACACTCCTTGGGAAAGGCTTGTAAAGGAGAGAGGCACAAACACACTCATAGAATTTAAATGAGCCAATTACACCCTCAAAGTTCAGCATTTAAGAGCCCGTTCACTGTACAGCTGTTGAGGCAAATCCCCTGTGCTTTAAGAGTTTTAGTATTAAAACAACTCACTCAGGAAAGTTTTAATCAAGCAAATTTGTATATCCCAATATATTGGGATATTTACACTGTTCTTCAGCTGACAGCAGTTTTTTCTAGCACTTTCGGTACAAGTTTATTCTTTTGTTTGTTACGGATTTTTTGCAGGTTTGATCTCCTGGCCAATGGTGGGGCATCCCTAACATTGAGTTTTGAGCGTGCTCCATTCCTTACTCAATACAGAACTGTGTGGGTGCCATGGAACGTCTTCTATGTGATGGACACACTGGTCATGAAGAAGGTGAGCACTTACTTACTCACTTTAAATGTCATTTTGAAGCTTTCATATTTGACTTTTTGTTAGGTTCCTCTGACTGATCAAGCAGTTATTGAATTTGTTACTGATATAATTATTTAATTACGATTTGGAGCAAAATGACATTCCTAGCGGTGGTCAAATGTTTTTTTATGATATATGATACACTATCTGAATGACACTGACTCACTGGCTGACTCAATAAGTGACTAATGAACTCATTGTTTCACAGTCAATGAATTGATGCATCAGTGACTAACTGGCACATGTTATGTCCGGCTGTTTCAGGAGGAGAATGACATTCCTAGCTGTGACCTGAGTGGTTTCATCAGACCCAGTCCTGTCATTGTTGCTTCTCCTCTGTCTACGTTTTACCGAAGTTCACCTGAGGATGGCCCCATCCTACCTGAAACACAGGTAATAAACAGAGGAGGGATTTTTGGTAACTAGACCAATTTTCACAGCCAGTATTTAGCACTGGGCCTGTCAGTGTGTGGTCATGAATAAGTTTGTGATGGAAATTTAAAGTTATCAGAAAGTATATGTAAAAACTTAACTTAAACTTTTATAGTTTTTAACAAAACTTTAGAATGGTAACACATATGTATGTATACACACAACTCACATGCAAGTTGATGGAATTTCCGAGTAGCCTAACGTATTCTGAAAATATCATATGTAGTGACTATGTATATAAAGATAGAAACTAAAGAGCTTAGGGTTCCAATTTAAAAATACCTACCAGTCAAAAACAGTATAGTTCTCAGTAGAACATAATTCTGACACCATGTAAACACCAACTAAGTTCAGTCAGAAGCCTATATAAAACACCAGTAGCTTTTATTCAGTCATCACTTAGTATTCGCTGACTACATTTTTTTAATCCCTTTTATATCTAAGCCTTATCAATTCAGCTTTCACAGATTTTTCCTGAAAAAATAAGATTGGTTCCTCCTGATTTTTACCTGCATTTTATGTCCATACACATCCAAGATCGATAAGACACAATTCCATGCAATTTACAGCAAACTGCACCTTTTGGCAATGGCCATGCCTGTTGAAAATACCTTTAATAATACAAGAAAAATAGGGAAAAGCTGATTGTGAGCCACAGCCCTTCAAAGTGAATAAAAATAAATAAATAGATATCTGCTATAACAGCTATAGTTTTTAAAGAGCTTAAATGTGACTATTTTCTTTCTGTTGAAAATGGCAACATGGACTCAGGGACACTGGATTTAAAAAAATGTTCTGACATGACTGTATAGAGACAAAATCGAGAAAATAAGCAGCCGATTAATAGATAATGAAAATAATCATTACATATTTTTTTTAATTAGGCTTTTAAGTTAGTTTTCATCTGGATTTGAAAAATGCAGAAATAATTGATTGTATAAAGATTATCAACAATACAAATGTATTATTTATATGTGTGTGTGTGTGTGTGTGTGTGGTAGGTGTCGTGTGTGTTGTGTGTGTGTGTGTGTGTGAATTTAATGACAATAATTGTTTTCATACACTATGGTTTTCATTTCATTATGAAAGCTACAATTGGCACAATGATAAAAAATGTAACTGAGTAAAATGCCATTGTGCTTCACTCCTGTTTGAAACATCTGCTGTACCAAAGAAAATTCTGAAAAAATGAAAAGAAAAAATATTTCTTAGTTGTTTTCTGTCACACAGTTTAACACTTACTATCAACACCACTGATGGAAGTTTATGAAGTCTGTCATAGAAACTACTAAACACTTACACATTTTAGTTTTGTTGCTGGACAAACAGACAGGACTAGGGCAATCACACACACTCACTCACACATATTAATAAGATACATGTACACATACTTACCACAGCTGAGGAATTGTGGCTCTGGAGTGGTTGTTTTTATAGGAAACTAGTAGTATCTGCACACACACAGAGACACACATGCACACATAGAGCCCCACCCTGTGTCCTGCCACTGATTGCCCATAAGCCTAATAACACGTCTCTCTTTGCAGGAAACTGAGGCTCATCATGGAGGAATTTTGTAATTGCATACACATTACACCATGTTATCTTTGTGTGGTGTGTGTATGTGTGGGTTATGTGTTAGAAAGGGAAAGAAAGAGAGGAAGAAAGAGGTAGTGTCAATGCGACAGAGAGAAATTGAGAGAGTTGAATACAAAGAGAAGCAGGTGTGTGCATGTGTTTTCTGGTTCTTTATTGTCACATTGCATTAATCTGTCTACAGAGGAAATGAAACAGATGACAGAACTCCATGTCTGTTTTTATATTTTTACAACCCTGAACCAGTGCACCGTATTTTTTATTCAACAAGCGTGTGTGCATGTGCCTGTCTATCTGCGATAAAGGGAAAGAGTTTGTGCATGAAGGAAAGTGTGTGATATGTGTGTGAGGCGCGTGTCTGAGGTAAGTGTGTGTGTATGTTAGAGTGAGAGTGCAGATCAAAAGCAAGGGAATGGAAAGCCGCTACTTAGCTTTTGGTGGAGCTGAGTCCATTAGAGAGGAGGGCAGTGAAAAGGGCAGTCTTAAAGGGGATGTAATGGATCTGTAATGAACACTAAATGCCTGGCTAATGAAAAGGCAATAGTGCAGTTGAAAAATATAACACTAGAACAGTCCAAACGGACCATTTCCCTGAGGAGCTTTTTTTTCTGTATTATTTTACATTTCTTCCTCATCTCCTTTTTCTTGGAGTCTGCCTCTTCATCAAAGGTTTTCCTTGTCTTCTCAACTTCTGGCCCTTTTGTACACAGTTGAGAC